GCTCGCAAGCCAACAGCTCCAAACCTTCCTCGCGCTCAACGCACCCTGGCCGTAACGCACTGGCCAGACGGACCGGACGGACCGGACGGACCGTCCCGCGCCTGCCACGCGAAACGCACTTGCTCATTTGATCGGCTGAGCCGCTGGTGTCTTTTGCAAAACAGCCAAGACACGTAGACTTTTGTCTGACTGAAGTATTGCTACGTTGCAGGCTTGCTTGCTTTCGGGAGTTGGCCGCTCTGAGGATTTGGTTGTTTGGCTTGGGCGCATTTTCATCACTATTGACAAAGCGGGCCCTGTAATTTCACGGCGTTCTGAGACGGCCGCGCGAGATTGACTGATTTTGCAACACACCTTCTTGCATTTGAATCCATTTGACTAAGCGCCGCTTCCCCTTCGGGTACGAGGCTCTGGGGTTAGCTTTCGCTTTTTGGCGGGCACGCTCCAGCCCAAACAAAGCCCTGCAAGCGCCATCTTCTCCCCGGCGAGATGCACGTCGGGTGCATGGAACCAAGGCGCGCCTTTGTGGTTTCCTTGCCTTCGGGGAGCACCATGAGACGGATCTCCTGGTGCGAAATGAGCGGCCCCGATCCGCACTGGACAATTTTCTTGGTTCTTCTTTGCTTCGCAACCCAGAATCAACAGACCATAGCCAGTCACGGTAGCGACTCTGGTTCGGAAGCTTTCCATTGACCCATAAATGCTGTATATGGGTTCATGTAAGATAGCCTCAGGAGGCCTCAGCAAGGGAAAACAACAACACACACACACACAAACATCTAAAAGGCCATAGCGGTGGCAGTCCTCTTAGCTTGAACAGCAAATAGCAAGCTGCCAACACACAATCACGCTGTTTGCAAATGTAGACATGCGTGGCGGTTGGGGTCTGCTGTGTCTTTGTCCATCGACCGCTCGTTTGCTAGCGTGGAACCTGGGAGTGAATTCTCCGTGCCAAGCAATAGGCAATGGTCCAAGTATACGGGCATCTGAAACAGAGGCAAAACCCAAGTCGTCGGCCGAGCAATGTGCTATGCCAAACCACCCTTCACATCAGGCGCTTTTCATGGCTCACCATGAAACTACACGCCTGCTCAAGGCCAAAATGGACACATACCTCGGTTACCTCGGCTCCGACTTGAACCATGCAGATGCTCCCAGGGTTGGGCAGCTAGTTCATTTCAAGCCACATGCCAGTGCCACCCACCGCGAACTTTTTACAAGGAACGCTCCCACGAGACCGCGAAGTGTCGATGGAGGTACAGAGACTGCCCAACTCACAGCCCTCTGAAACTTTCGCGGCGACCAATCCGTGATCTGGGTCGGCCTTTTCCGAGGGTACCCTTTTTGCGGTGGCTTTGAAGGGAAGCAAAAGGAACACCCCTAAAACCTCGCACACACACACTCATTTGAAAAGGATAACCACTAACTCCAGCAAGGCCCCTCAGGTTCGCAAAGTGCACAGCTCCCAGAAGCATTCTCTCCGATACTAAGACTGGACCCAATTGTTGCTTTCTCTTGTTCACCCTCTCCATCCATCTATCCATCGCGAGGGCCGCAATTTAGGATCCGCCATGAGGGCGTTTCGCAACTTTAGGATCCGCCATGTGTAGCTCCTAAAGAAAGAACAACTTCTGAACATGTGCTATAACATAATATGTATCATGTAATCCTAGACCCACTGCAGCATTTCCTAGAATTCTTCCTGTTGACCCACCTATAGTAAACATTACTGGCGCTTATACCCCCAGCCCCTCGAGAGCTCAGTCCCCTCGGCTCCTCCAGGCCGGCAGCGTTGAAGGGTGAGGACACCAGCGCCCTGGGCGCGAAGGACGGCTGCATGGTGCCATGTGGATGCGGACGGAATCCGGAGAAATCGCACCGAACTCAGAAACCCAACGGCATGATTTTCGATTCCCCTGTTACCAACCAACAATGATTCTTTCTCATGGTTTCAAAGTGGCGCGAACTGGATTTCGTCCACCCGCCAACATGGAAGCTCCCGAACGGAGCCCGAAATACAAGACTTGGTTCCATGCAGAGAGGCCAGTTGGGGGAGCTTCCATGTTGAGGGAGTGTAGCTTGGCGTGGGACATAGAGGTCTTAAGACAGCAAACCAACTGAATCTCGTGGTCCTGTGGATAGACGAAGTCCATTTTGCACCCAAGACACACAGGTTTCTGATGATTCCTCTGTAGATACCAACAAACAATGTTTTCCCATAGTTTCAAAGTGGTGCAGGCTTTCGTCCATCCACAGTATTACCAGCGATTGAAGAATAGCAACCAAATGAGTGACACTGCTTGTCTGTGTATCACTACTTTGCAGCCGAGGTCCAAATGGACCTCCGAGCGGGCTGCTTGTGGAGATCTCAATTGGTTGACTGCCATCGTTGCGTGTTCAGTTCATGCGCGGGATTTGCAATCACACCGAACACTATACATGATGTCGCGCACGTGCAGCATATTGAAGCATCCTCAACAACACCTACATGCCACACGTCGGTGTTACTTTTTGGAGGGAACTCCAAAACAACCAAAACAACCAAAACACCCAAAACAACACCCAAAACAACCAAAACAACCAAAAACACCCCAGCCACGGGTGTTACTTTTTTGGCGGCTTCCCTTAAACAACCAAAACAACCCAAAGGGTACCCTCCAAAAAGACACTCGTGGACATCCACACGGCTAGTTGGTCCACGAACAAGTGTTGCAATGCGAGGCGTCCCGCTCTCTTGGGTGCACAACGATGATTGTAGACCTCGAAATGAGCAAGACTCAGAAAAGGGCGCGATCCGTTTGCGAAGCAATCCACTTTCAAGCTTCAAAAGAAATGAGCAACCTGCTCTTGGACAGTTTGTGCAGGATTCCGGGGGTTGCTGATCAGAAGCATATGCCAGCTGCCGCCTGCAGCCGTGCGAGAATAACATGTCCACATACGTGACATTCGGAACATACATGTGTATACACTCAGAACACGCATGGGCATATGCGTGCGTGGCTGTGTACACAGGGAAGACACGTGCGCGCAAGACACATGTGCACACACTCGGAACACACATGTGTGTACATTCGAACCTCACACCACTTGTGGGCGCGCGGAACACATCTGGACATGCTTGTACACTCCACGTATGCTCGAAACACACATTGGTGTACACTCGGAACAAAAGACGGCAGCTAGCAGCCGGCCATTTTCACTGCACGCCATTGACTTTGCAAGCTTCTGTCACGTGCATACTTACTCGCCCTCGCCCGGGGGAAAAACAAACCCCACAGCCATCGCATCTCACTTCAAACATGAATCTTCCAGATCAGCTAGTACAGCTCGTTGTAACAGTGCATTTCTATGGAGGAGCTGCTCTTCTGAAAAGGATATCCATGAAAAGTAAGATGCCCTGATCTGGCTGAACCATAGATCGCGAATAACGTTTAACCAACGGCTGATATGGAGGCTTTGGGGGCGGATGACTCATTAAGATTCCAAGTGGGAACCTTCCTCGACTCGGAAGGGCTCTCTTTCGGCTCTTACTTTCTGTTTTGTGTCCATCCATCAGCTTCCCCCTTGGTGGTTTGGACTGGTGGCTTCTGGGGATTTCAACCCCGGTACCTTTTGAAACCAAATGGACAAGGTACCCCTTAGGTCCAAACCATGAGGCTCCACCAATTTTGCCGTTAAGGGGGTGGTTTCCCATTTACCCGCTGCAACCACGAGTTCAATTCCCCGGATCCAAGACCATCAAGGGGTTGCCTGATTTCAATCCAAGCACAAGTTGCATAAGACAAGCATCAAGCTGCGTGGCTGCAGGCTGCAGGCAGTCTCCGCTTTGCGGAATGAGCACAGGGCGGTATCGGGCAAGCTGGTGAGGTGACCCCAAAACGCGCAGTCCGGCACAACATCACTTGGCAATGGGGGTCAAATTGGCTTATTATACAAACACATTTGACACTTGATGCGTTTGCCAATGAATCCAGCATGACCTTGTGAATGCAAGCACATCTCATGTCGTGGTTGGAGCTGACTATCCGAGGTCACCGTGACGGCGGGCGCGATCTTGCATCCAGCGCAGGTGCATGGGAGTAGTGCTACAGGGAGGCTACGACTGCTGAACTTACTCCTCCGATCACAAAAGTGTCGAGTGCGCTTCGAGAGCCATTGGTTGCATGCTCGAGGTGATTGTTCCCCGACACCTTCAAAACCCACAAGGGACAATCAAACACATCCTCAAGACAATTGGAAGTTGTGGGACTTCTGTGGTCAGCAGGACTCATTCAGACGGATGGATATCAACCCGGCTTCCAGGATTCCAGGCGCAGAGACGGCGAGCCAAACTTCTACGCCGGGTGCATCATGGCAAGTGGTTTGACTTCACGGCTGACCAGAACTCGCTTGCTTTCTGCTCCCCTGCTAAAAGTTTAACTTTTAGTGGTTTAGTGAAAAACTCATTAGTTGGCAAAAAGTTAAAGTCCTAACAGCCAAGCAAAATGCACCAAAGAGAAAACTTATCTGGCCGAATCTGGTCGCACCCAGCTGAATTCCTGGCGTATGCCTTCCATTCTACAGGTCTCACACAGCTCAGAGGGCTCGGCCGGGGCACACTGCGCTACTGCGCTTGCAACTTGGGGTGAGTGCTTTGTCCTTGGTCGCCAAGCCTCAGGCTCCCCATACTTTCCCTCACTGGCGCCAGGGCCAGCACACCAAAACCGGGGCTGGGGGAGCGGGAAGTTGTTGGGGGGGGAAGGGTCTACGGAAGTTTTGTTGGCTTTCCACTCACTAATGGCCCTAAGGCAGGCAATGCCCTCCCACCCTTTTCGCGTGGAACCTGGCGTTTGGGGGGTCCTGGTTTGGACCATGCTCCTTTGGAAGGACCCGCCTGACAGGTTCCGCGTGAAAAGGGTGGGAGGTATCCCAAGAATCTTCTTGATGTGGCCAAGCGATGCTAAGGTGAGGATCGAGAACTGAGAGCCCTGGTGGCAGCCCGGTGGTAGCCCTCTGGGCCGTCACGCAACGGCATCTGGCAATCTGCCGCCGAAACGATCTCTTTCAAGCCGAGCGTTGAGGAGCGACAGCCGCTTGCGCGCCATCGACCTCAAGAATGAACTGAAATCAATCCGTTTTCTCCGCATGAGTCAATCAAAACCGATCGGTATTAAAACGGTCTACCCAAACCAATGTAAAGAGCTACAATGTTACAAGAGCGGCCGCACCGAATTCTGGTTGCCCCGGGCTCTGATTATAGCTCACATAAAAAGCACACACCAGAATGCCTGGAGCCTAGAACAGCCAATTCATGCCGGAAGAAGAGCCCATGAATGCTCCCACGGCTGATCTACTCGAATCAGGGCTGCGCAGTCTGAGGTGCCAGCGCAGGCGTCTCCTCGAAAAGAATTCGCAAGAACCTGGCCCAGTCCACGCTGACAGGCCATTGCCAAGGGGTCTCCAATTTAAAGTCATGTCTGTATGTTTGAACAGGGTTGAAATGACCACTTGTATGAGTCCATTGACAGGCCTTCTCAAATACTACTTCTGTATTCGCGGGGGGAGGGGGGGGGGGGGGTGCGTGGAAAACATCCCTATTCTGGGTGTCAGCAAATCTATGGCACTGGCAAATGTTTGGAATGACTAGAACCCCATTGCAACCACTGCCATCTATTTGCAACCACCCATGGCTACGTGAACCACTTTCAAACTATGGGAGACCATTTTTGTTTGGAATTTACAGTGGAATCATCGGAACCTGTGTTTCTTGGGTGCAAGACGGACTTCGTCCATCCACGGGACCACAAAGAAGAGTTGGTTTGCTGTCTTAAGACCCCTATGTCCCCCGCCACAACCTGGGTTTCTTCGATGGTGCGAAGTGGATTTCGTCCATCCACCAGTACGGACCACTTTCCAACCCCCGGCTTCTTCCCACCGCCCGGCACAGCTTTTTGGTCCTTCCCCGCCTCACGTTCGAGTCTGCTGGCCGCACAGCGTTGGAGCGGCTCGGGGGCCTCAGGCGCCGAAAAGGCGGCCGGACGCAAAACTCTTGGAGCCAGCTGAGTCACAATCAAAACCGATCGGTATTAGAATGGTCTAATCAGCACCATGTAAAGAGTTGAAAAGGCGGCCGCACTCGTTCATAGCCGGGAGTCCCTTACTACGGGGGTTTGGATTGTGACTCAGAGCCCTTGGGATGCTTCAGAGGAATGGAGCATCGCTCTGAGCTACTCCCTGGCCCCGAATAGGGACGGGGGGGGTGGTTTCCCAAAAATAGGAAACCGGTGGATAGGTTGCGCCCCAGCCTTCCAAAGAGCTCGTAGTTGGGACAACACGCCACGGAGAAATCAGCGCAGCCCGGCCTCATGTCCGGCTGCGAGTGGGCTCGCTTCGGCCGCAGGCTCCGGAAGAAGTTGCCGTCAGGATCGTTCTCCTAGAGCTTCGGGACGGGGAAAACGGAATGCGCTTGCTGGGTCTTCGTACGAGCACAACCTACCCAATTCTGGGCTGTCCTCAGATCCCCCGCAAAAAGTTTGAGTTTTAGTGGTTAAATAGAAATGCCCCCAGAACAGAAGATAAAAGGCTGAGGAGATGGCTGGGAGCCACCAAGCATTCACAGCGGACAATGATTCAGCAACAAAATTTACAACCTTGGAAGGCCCGTTGAGACTCGCAAAAGACACACAACAGTGCGTGAGAGCTCATCGCCAGGATCTCCATGCAGTATTCACAGCATATTCAGGCATCAAAACAGCGTCCGCCTTTCAAGCCCTGAGTCAGCTGCTTGCCGAACAGATCGATCGTCCACCCAAAGGAGTACCCATCTTATATACTCCGCACCTACTTTGCTTCCCTACAAGGTCTTACAACCGTCCCATGAAACTGTGCGAAGCTCCAATGTCCACTATGCCACAATTGTCAATGGCAGGCCCCCTGCCAGAATCACAAACAACTTGATGTTTTGCAACCACAACATGCTTTTCTCCTCTTATGACCCCTGCTCTCAGCCTGGCCAAGCGAAGTAAATTGCCAGTCTTTTCAAAAACAATTGGCCACCTCCAAAAAATCCTGTTGCATGACAAGGGTGGACGCATGCAACTGCCATGCATGATGAAAGCGGGTCTTGTCGCCGGCTTGTACATTGCTAGGCAAGCAACACAGCAGCTGGAATTGTTTCCTACTCACTCCATCTAAAACCTGTGAGCACTGGCCGTCTGAATTGCGCCATTTGCTCAAGTTCCATGGAAACAGAAACATATTTCCAGTAGTGCTAAGGCTACATTCCCTTGAAAGCTAACAGGGGAAAATACAACAAATTCATTAAGCAAATGAAAGAATGTGTCTCTCATCTTATGTTTCTGGCGAGTTGGAACCCCGTCCTTGTCAATGACTTTGGGCCCACCACAGGTGTGTACACCTTGGCTCCAGTCTGTCGACCTCCCTCGCCCAGCAAGCCCACACAGACACACATACACACACACACACTTTCTGGGTGAATTGTAATATTTCACCAACCTGAAAATAGGTGATTCGGGGGCCATTCCCCACATAACCCACCATTTCGTGTGAGGTCGTGTGAGGTCGTTATAATTCACCCACTTTGTATTTTGTGATTATCTTACTTGCACCCCCCCAAGAAAAAGAATCTCAGGGAGACAAAGGCAACCCTGAAGGTCTGTGCACGACAGATTGGTGGCTTTACGCCAAGGCTTGAGTTTGAGCGCTAGCCCTTCAGGCATGTAGAAAGCCACAGCTTGAGCACCATTCCTCGTCCCTTCCAAACACGACTCAGCCTCGCACCTAAAAACCGACAAACGAAGGACTGTCCCAGACTTCGACCCCGCCTGTGTAGGAGTCCTTGTCATAGAAAAACCGCTCGGGGCCTCTCCCCGCCGTGGATGTGCCTGCGCGAGACAGTGAGCATGCTACGGTGAATGTCTGCATCTGCCTCCATCTAGGCACAAACACAACTCTTGCAAATGGTGCTAGGTTCAATCAGGGACTCAAAGGACCAGCCCCACTCTTTTACTCTTGCTTCTTTTCAAGTCGATGACCCTTTCAGTGGCTCGCAACTGAACGGGAGTCTAGTGGCTAAGGAGCGAAACATTGAACAATGACCCCAGGCGCTTCGTTCGCAGAAAGGGGCACTGTGGGCCAGTCTGTGCTGGACTGCTTGAAGGTAAACAACAAGTCGAGCTTTTCGGCCAGTTCATACGAGTGATTTGCAAAGGGCAACAAACAAAAACGAAGGGCAAACGACAACACACACTCCAGCTTGCGCCAGCTCATTGCTGTTGGCAGTAGCTGAGGTTGGGGCCCAGTACAGCCACGCATACTTCGAGCGTGCAAAGTGTTAGCGCAGCGCACGGCAGATGTCTGACGAGCTCTCTATTCAGCAGCAGCTCATATTCTTGAGGTCCGAGCTGTCATCTAACAGTCGGACACTGCCCGAAAGGGTGAGATGTCTCGAATCATCACCTTTGTGCTCATGTGCACAGTGAAGAGTTTGACTGCAAGGAGGTGACTTCAAGCATGCGACTGCCCCGACTCAAAATGATGCCCCCGCCTGATGGCGACAGGGCTGAAGACTGCAAACCTGCTCAGATCATGGAAGTCCGACGCAGCAAGAGAGCACAGCCTTCACCATTTAACTATGGAATTACACCCGATGATTTCTATCAGAATTGGTGTCTTCCAATGTCAGCAAAACTCTCTTCCCCATGCCTCAATGACGTTGGCTTCCTAGCATAGAGTACTGCCATAATCGTGCAGCAAAGGTCCTGCAAAATGCCACCGCGCACCTTTCCCTGTCTGTGTTCACCGCGCAAAGTTGCCCTACCATCCCGGCGCTGTCACAGGCCGAGAACTTAAGCTGCGCATGTGAGCCGCCCTGGCACCTGAAGGAGGGGGCTTCCTTGTGTTAGGCCAGTTTTTTTTCTTTCTTTTCAACGTCACGGTCAGCTTGCTTATGCACTTGCGCACGGCTGTCCATCGCTGTCGGGCCACGTTCGGCCAGCGCACACATGTACGAGTAACACTGCCCATGTCGATTCGTCTCAACGCGAATCGAAGACCAGGGTGCCTTGGAGACCTTGCTATACTTGGCCAGTGATGCACTCCATCGGACCATTCGGCGTCCCTTTTCGGGACCACCCTTTTGGACCCGGTTTTTTACAAGCCCCCGCTTCAACATGTGCATCTGGATCTAGCCTTCTGAGCTGGCAAAGAGGCGATTCTCTGGGGTGGATGGGCTGGTTGGCCGCATCGGCAGCTTGAGGTGAAACAGGGCTATTGGCTCTGATTTGGTGGCACTTGGGAGTTGCTCGGGGTTGGTTCGGTGTGTTTTGGGCTTGCTGAGGACTCAGGGAGGGCGGGCCTTAGGTTTGCGCGGCCTTCATTTAGGCTCGGCAAAGGGCAAATATGGCTGTGGCTCAAAAAACCGGTACCCAAATGGAACCCTGGTAAGTGGAAACATGGACCAAAACCTGCGTAACCCCTCCTGATTAATTTTGAGCCACACCCATATCCAGGCGTCCAGCTGGTTTAGTGGCGTCTTTGGGATGTGGCCAAGAGGGATTTTGCCGAGCTTTGGTGGTTCGGGGAAACGCCGCGCGCCCAACCGGGGTTAAAAAAACCTCAACCGGGGCTAGTAAAACAAAACACCGGGCCCTGTTTGAAAGGGCAAGCAACAAAAACACGTGGAGCTTCCTATTTAGACAGAAATTGGCTTGCGCAAGGCACGCCTGGGTTCCGTGTGAAGCGCGACGGTCGCAAGCCGCCACGCAGTGAGCTGACATAGCTGTCCTTGTGCACCTAGGGTGAGGCTTTCTACACTTCGGGGCTCCTTGTGTCTTCCTAGTCACAAAGGAAAACCCTGTGACAATGCCCGTTTTCAGACAGTCTGCTTGTGTCTCCCTGTCCCTGTGCTTCTTCCTACGTATGCTTTGCACGTTCATTTTGGTAGTTGAACGGCTGCTTGAGAGCTTTCTTGTTGATAGCTAAGTGTCTACTCAAGTTAGTACTTCGAATGATGCAAAAAGGTGTGACTTGCCCTGCTTGTGGTTCAATCTCAGAAAATCAGACCTCGGCGTGAAATTCGCGCTTGGCGAACGCACCCCCCACAAGCTCCAACAAAATCTTACATTTCAGCATGCGCTGAATCTGGTTGTTCTCTTCGTTTGTCCAGTCACCGTCAGATGTCCGATGACTTGTTCTGTGGCCACATTCTGCTGACTCCCAGCCGCTTTCTTTTGTTTAAAAACAAAAAAAAAACAGGTGCCTCCATCAAAGCCATGCTTGTGCGCAAATCAGCATGCAACAGCCAAAAAAAACATGGCTGGCTGTCAGCTGACACGTTCAATCCGCAAGCAAGCAGCTCGGCCGTCAGTCAATCAGCGGCAAGCCGGTGCGTTGCATGGAGGTTACACACACACAGAGTATTGGAGCTGTAGTGTGCACCAGCTATGATTTCCCTGCACAACATGGGACTTTGCTTAAGGGCATGCCTTTCTACTCCACCATCAATCCGTTGGATGCTCAACTCATAACCTCGATGAAGGAGCTGACAACACTTGCAGCCACATTGTTCACATCTGCATTTCGAGTTGCCGTGTCCGGTCCACCGCAGGTATGCACACCTGGCCAAGAGTGATTGCCGTGAGGGCAGTGCAGCCCAACACTTAATCGCGACCAAGAAAGCACTGCGAGAGGCGACGTAGCAAGTCATTTTGCATGGACTATCAGCATACTCTTCACCGGCTCCCCATGTAATGACAATGAGCTCCGATTGTGGCATATCAGCAGTGATACCGTGAGTTTGGGGCTGGTCACGTTCGGCTGGCAAAACTAGGCATTGCTTTGAAACTCAGCCCATTTGGATGCAGCCGGGAGTGTCTCAATATTGGGCCCCCAAAATGTTCGGGTTTCCCTGCAAATCAACCCCGTGGGCGCCTGTGTAGCTCAGCTTGTCGTAGAAGAAGCGCTCAGGTCCAAAAAATCCTCTGGGCCTGTGAAATAAGGAGTCTGGATCCAATCCGGTTTGGAATTCCATTCTTGGACAGCACAAGACCCAAGACCCTTGGGCAGGGTCCGGATCTGGCAGGGTCTGAGCAGCTGGATGAAGTCACTTGATTGCGGCCAAAGTGCACACTGCATATGAAAGCAACACATGGTGGCTCGTCTTCTGTTGAGGGTACTTTTGGCTTGGTGGCTGTAAAAGGAACTCAAAAGGAAAACCAAGTCTTTTTTGGTTTGGGGGCCAAAAGACACACCCATATTAATGGGTATTCAGGATATACAATATAGATGCTTGTTGCCCAGTTGAATCGCACGCCTCGCGGATATATTAAAACCCATGCCTGCACCGGCTGGTGCTAGAGCTCAGGGATTCGCTCGCCATGCGGCGTGGAGCTCAAGTGTTCCTTCGTTTTTTTGGGGGTTGGGTTGGGGATGGAATGCGGTAGACGGAAGGAGCCCTACGTGAAGCTGAGGCAATAGGGTGGTTGCTATGGAAGGCGGAACCATGGGCAGTGCAGCCTCTGCTGCTGACTATCAGTTCGCATCTGGCAGCGTTTATCGGGCTGCAGCTGCCGGCCGGCACTCCAGCGGCTTCGTACCCAATATGTAGATCACATATATACGCTACAACAGGACGGGAACCAGAAATGACACCTGTACCATTTGGGTCAACATCCCGTACCCCCACTGAACATCCCAATCCCCACTAAAATAGGCTCTCAAATGGGTGGTTTGTTTTCACCTACCAACCAAAATGGGATCCCAACACGGTTTTTGACACCTTCACCACTTGGAGGCTGCTTCGACGAATCTACCTTGCCATCTGGCTCGAGCCTTTCAACAGGCCGACCGAATGCGAATGCTGGGAGGTTCCTACGAGGTACCGGACCGCCAGGTGATCCAACGGGATCCGCCCCCTGCCTTACTGCCATTTGCTTAAGCCTGGAGACAATAAACAGATGTCCAGTAATGAAATCGATTCCCTTTAAAACCAACACGGGAAAATAAACACATATTCTTAGGCAAATGGAAGCTTAGGCAGGGCTTGGGAAACTATTTGCATTTTCCGTGGTCTGCCCGGCAACGTAACATCCATACTGTGGATGGACAAAATCCTGCACCACGTTGAAACCATTGGAAACCGTTGTTTGTTGGTATTTACAGGGAACTCATCATTCCAGGGTTTCGTAGGTGGTGCGGGATTTCGTCCGTCCACAGTATCAGGGACACCACATCAATCTGACCGATTCTTGAGGCTGTCTAACACATGAATCACAGGTGTTGTTATCATTCTGTGTGCTATGGGTCGGTCCTTGCCGGGGCACACACACACACACATGCAATGAATGTGATCGAGCAGCTCATTCGTGAATCAGTGAATCACTGTACAAAGAAACCCTTATGTTGCACGGGCATCAGCAAGATAAAGCTGTCAGTATATCATGGAAAACCAAGCAGTCCGGTGATGCGCATGTATGTTGTGGCTTGCATGCCACACAAACATCCGTGCTATGCATTGTGACCTTCCACCCTTGCACTCACAGTTCCACCCTCCAACACGTGCAGTTTTTCAGTGGATCAATCATCTGGGTAGGGTTCAGTTTCTCCATCCATAAAAAGTCGCGTCCGCTGTTTCCCATGCCACCCTGGATTTTTTTTTTTTTTTTTTAAGCCATCGGCTGAGGTCGGCGCCTCCCCATGCAGCCACGGAGCTTCTGTGAGACTTGGCCAATGCGCCACTCCGCACGCCTAAAAAAACCCGCAGGCTTTTTGCCCCGCAGAAGAACTTCGACCCGACCAAGTCACAGAAGGAGCCAGACATGGACCCGGTCCCTCTAAACGGAATTTGGTCCAAGTCACCCCCCGAACCTCAGCTTCCATGTGAAAAGGGTGGTTCTCTGTTCAACCAGAGTTTGCTGTTTGTTGTGTACAATCTGACACTTATCATTCCTAGCATGTCACCAGAAAAGGGCCAGCACTTGGCCAAACGGGGCTCGCAGAAGCCTTATCATAACGCCCACAAAAAGGCCCTTAGCCCCAGCTAAGATTGGGGGTTGAACGGCATCTATGGCCCTGCGTTCTCCTTGGTGCGGCTTCCACTCGACTTGTTCGACTTGCACAAATCACATTGCAGCGTTCTTTGTATTCAGGCTGGACCCCCCGAGACCCTGCTGCCCTTTCATTCCTTCAAGGACCCTTCACAGATTTTGGACATCTCCGCGTCTCATTCCAAAGCCGACACACACGAACGCCACGAGGCGCAAAAGAGCCGCCAGGCCCCGGGCTCCAACTGCACGCCGTCGATGCAAACCATGGAGATCTGAACGCCCTCCAAGTGCCCGCCGTCATCTGGCGAATGGACCCCCGCACAGGCAACACTGGCCATTTCAGTGACAAACCGACATGCACGTATGGTTTCCTCCCCCGGATCCACGGAGTGTTGCCTCATTTCCTCCGGTCCATCTGATGTCTGCCATATGGTCTGGTACCAGCAGGTGTTCTATTGTGCAGAATTCATGTCGATATGCACAAACATCATGGCTTTGCAACATGAGACCCCCTGACCAATGTCAAGCACTCCGAGTTTGCCCACAAAGCTTGGGGGTTCTACTTAACACAATCTCGCTTGATCGCTTGGAACTGAGTCTAGCTCCATTGTCTGCCAAGAAGTTTTTTCAGCTTTGTTTGACCCCCCGCACACACACACACACATGTTTGTCCAATCGTCGACTTGGTGTGTGTGTGTGTGCGCGTGTTTGAATCAACAACAACATGGCTCACTAAAAAACAGCCCTGGCCTTCCACACTTAGCCGGCAGCAACCCACCACACAACAATCAGAGCGAATAAACATGCGGGACATGGATTGGAGTCAGCTGCCTCCTGAGTCTGCCATGAGGAAACAAGCTCGTTACAGCGAACTTGCGACGGCCTGCCTGAAACCATGCTGGCAGAGGTGAAATTCGAGAAGGAGGAATGACCAGATGACCTCATCATAATGTTCCAAGTGGTTGTTTGCCGCGGAACACAGTGCTCTTGAGTTGCTCTCCTGTCATGGCAGTGCTGCCTACTCCTCAAATCAAGCCAAGCTCCTCATGTGGAAGATGTGGGGGTTTGCCATCCTGATGAGGGCTTGTAAAGAAGAAACCGCACACATGCCATCCGGAGTTTGGTGTCCCTTGGGCAGGATACGTTGCCCTCTGGTTTCCATCCAATCTCTCCAGAGACGTCTCCCTGACCTTTGGATATCTGGCACAACCTTTCAAGGCTTTCCCGTGAGTTGGCAAACAACGCCACTTCCTACGAAGCTTAAAAGCTTTGTCACCAAGGTCATTGCATATCCGATATCCCACATATGGGTCTGTCTCAAAATAGGGACCCCCCCCAACTACGGCTGGCTTCCTTTTGGTTTCCTATTGAAACCACCCAAAAGTGGGTACAAACAAAAGCAACACCCCTATGACGGCCCTATGAGTACTACTTCGCCAAAAGTTTTGGGCGCTCAAAGTGCATCTTTCTTCGACACATTTGCACATTCGCAGTGAGAACTGAGATCAGGACAGGCTGTTGTGATGGAGCAAACGCGGAGGTGACAAAGTTGCCGAGTCCTGCAGGTTGACCCATGCGTACGCAGTGAGGCGCTGAATCAAAAATCAAGCACTTCCGAAATCTTAGGGCTTCGAACGAGGGAGTCCTGAAGTTGCTTCCACTACTGCCCAGTCAATCAGCCGGTCTAAGTGTTCTAGAACGTGGACTTGACCTTTAGGTGTGGCTCAAAATTGAAGAGCCAGGGCAAACCGCAGCTTTTAGTCTTCTCCATTTCCCACGGTGCCATTTTGGTACCAGCCTTTTGAGCCCTTTGCCATTTGGCAATATGCAACATCCGGATCCCTGAGGTCGTTTTCATGCAGCACGCAAACCTAACCCATCAGACTCCATGGCTTAACAGGGATCCTTACAATGGATCCACCTGAACATTGCCTTGTAAATGGTGGTGTCCCTTTATTTTGGTTGAAACAGCCATGTTTCAAATGGTTGCAACATGTGTCTTTTAAGGAGCCCTGCTTAAACAGAAGGATCCAGGAGGGACACTGACAAATTGACAGAGACACTGACACATATACTTGCACACCTACACACACACACCACACTAGGTACAACTGCACACACACACCAACAACAAGTACAAATTCAAACACACACACACACACACAAACACACACCCACACACACACAAACACACACCCACACTAGGTACAACTGCACACGCACACACACCAACAACAAGTACAAATTCAAACACACACACACACACACACAAACACACACCCACACACATCGACGAACAATCAATCAATCAATCAAACAAACAAACAAACAAGCACAAAATCAAACAATCAACAAGCAAACAATTAATCAATGAATCAATCAATCAAGCAAGCAAGCAACCGACCAACCAACCAACCAGTCCATCAATCAATCAATCAATCAATCAATCAATCAATCAATCAATCAATCAATCAATCAATCAATCAATCAATCAATCAATCAATCAAATCAAATCAATCAATCAATCAATCAATCAATCCATCCAACCAACCAACCAACCAACCAACCAACCAACCAAGCAATCAATCAATCAAATCACACACACACACATACAAGGATGCAGTCGAGCGACACCAGCAAGCAAGCAAGCAAAGCACAGCAAAGCCAAGCAAGCTGAAGAGCAAGAAACAAGAAGCACACCACGCTGCTGTTCTCCGATTGCCAGTCATAAACAGCATCCCCGCTCCTGTCTGGGCAATGATAGGCCCGGCGGTGAGTCGGCCTGTGTCATTTCGCACGTATCTTCAGCCAAGTGATGCCACTCAACAGAAAATGCTTGCAGCCGCACATTTCACCGATCTCAGTGCAGGGGCTGGTGTCAATCATCCTCTTGCTGGTGCTCAGTAGGGAATGAACCCAGGGGTCCCCTTAAATGAAGCCACAAGGGATGGCTTATACGTGTCATTCCCACCTTGGTTGCTGTTGACCCCCCTGCAAAAAGCTTAACTTTTTGGGGGAGTAGTGGAAAACCCCTTGATTTCCCAAAAAGTTAAAGTCCAAAGATCCAACCCAAGTCATTCCCACATTCCCTGCCTGTCGCACCAGCAAGGCCAGCATTTCAAAATTCCGATGGCTCGGCAACGGATTTATCGTCAGAGAAATCGGTGAAGCCCTGGAACAAAATTTGCCTGGATACCACAAAAGAATCCAGGCTCAACTAGATCTGGGTGGAGCACTTGTTGAATACCTTAAGAGAACGTGAAATAACTACTTCACTTGGTGAGGTTGATTTCAGTCCAATGTGGAGATACCCGTCAATTGGAATCACCAACATTGGGCGCTTTGCCTCGCAGGATAAACAACTTGGAGACCGCATCGATCTTTTTGAAGACTAGCCCAACTGGATCGATGTACTTGCAAGCCTCCAGAAGAAATACAACTGCATGCGAACCATCCTGCCAAAGGTCACCAAGGTGCGCGGCATCTAGGTTTGAAAAGTGGCATTGCTTTTTGGGAGGTCGCATGCCTGCCAGCGCTTTGGAGCTCAAAAGAGAACATTTCGATCTGGGCAAAGCCAAGGTTCTACGTGCGTAGTGTTTTGATCTAGTGGTTTTGACGGACCCCTCCGAATGGTTGGTGGCATCCTATGTTCTTTGCAAATGGACAGACAGGGGCCCGCTATGACAAATGGACCAGCTCTGAGAAGTCCCCCGTCGCAAATCCAACCCAATGTCAGTCTGGCCAAGAGATAGGGAAAAGAAAACAAACCTCATCACAAACATAGATTTCATTTCCTCCGAGGAAGAAGCAAATGGGAAAATGACACGTCCAGAAAGTAGCAAGAGTTGAGAGTACCATGTCCGCAGGCATGTGCGCGGGCGTGCGACGGAGTGCGTGGGCGGTGTGCGCCTACCATGGCAGGTGTGCGACGGAGTGCGCGGACGGATCTGCCTCTCAAAAACCCACGAATCGTGGCTGGTAAAATCGTACTTGCTCAAACATGCCAACGCCGACACAAGCCATGAGACTGCACCCGGGGCTTGGATGTATATCATTTGCCACCTGATTTTTGTGGGCGGCCCACAGTTGGGGACTTCGGCATTTGAAGAGACATCCACCTGTCAAAACCCCACCATTTGTGGAGAGACCCACCTGGGAAGCTATGCATTTGGGAAGCTGGCCGAGAACCATCCACCCTCCGCGCCCCTCCTTCGCCAGATTCAAACCCGGCGGCGGCGAGTTCGTCTCGGCCAGAACAAAAAGCTCGACTTGAGTTCCAAGGGCATTCTCTCATCACTGGACTGGAAACCATAAAAGAACAACCTTTGGACCCCTGGCCAAAAAAATGAGCAAAGGAAAACCAACAGCTCCGGCTTTGGTCAGCCTTCGTTTAGTTTCGGATGTTCCCGCAACATGCTTCAGGCACAAATGTAGGTGGTGGCACTTGCTTCGGACGTGGTCGGTTTTCTCTCCCTGAGCTTTGACAAGTCCTCGGTGAACTCTTGGGCCTATGAACAGAGTCGCTCACCAACAACCACCCAGTCTTATTGGAACCTACCCGAGGGGATCAGATCGGACCTCAATTTGCTGAGTGTGTTGAGCGACTCCCTGGAAGTTCTTACCTCTCATTCCAGAATCATTCTTGTTGTGGGCTAGGACCAGATGGAGTAGGATTGTAAGGAGTGCAGTTTGAAGCATCAGGCTTAAAAACGATGAGGAGTTTTGGGGTGTTTCCACGTCAGACCTCTCCAGGTCTCGTGTCTGTCCAGCCAGTCTTAGGGTGACTCACACAAGAGGCCCGAGCCCTTGGCAGCATGACACATGGCTCAGACACTGGCCACCATCGGCGCAAGAAGCCTGCGAGCGAATAGGCCGAATATGTCCGAACAAGTTGAAAGAAGGCTTTAAGACCCGCTATGTTGCATGAACATGACGCCTTTTAGGTACAAGCACGGTCCATGGAGCAAGGGATTCCGTGACATTAATTGGACCGATTCCAAGCGTGGAGACCTCATGATGTGAACGACGACAGGAGAATCAGCACCAATACACCAAAGAACCGAAGCCTCGGCAGAACCACTGTCACACCAGGTCTCAAGCCCAATCTGACAAGTGAGCTCCAACAATGAAGGATTTCCTCTAAAAAAAGGACAGCCTATGAATCAGGCAGGCCCTATCAATGCTGGGCCTTGCTTGTGTCAGCCCTTGGATTCAGTCATCTGCGGCCCTTTTTCCGTAGAGAATCTGAGTCGGTCTTTTCCGGTGCCGAAGTACTCCTTGGTCATCGCATGCAGCTCAAGTCGGGTGGCCCAAAACCAAACTCAAGGACGGCATGAGTTCAGAAGTGGCCTCATGCTGATGCATGGCTGTGTATTCACAAGGGCCCGCGAGAAAGCAGGTGCTTTTATCGGGGACTGGCATGACGCCACCTTCAATAGCGGCCTTCCCGGTCAGTTTACATGCCTTTGTGCCAAAATACGACACTTCTTCTGAAGACATGCATGTTTCACACACACACACACTCTCTCCCCTCCCTCCCTCCCTCCCTCCCTCCCTCCCTCCCTCCCTCGCTCCCTGACACCCACTCACTCACCCACTCGCTCACTTGCTCTGTTCGTTCGGATTTCTTTGCTTTGGGGCTGGAAGAAGCTTTCGAGGCACCGGTCAGGGCGTTCCTTTCTGCGCATCGGCTACCCGGGATCACACCCACCCGAGAAACGAAGCTCAGTGCACTAAGACATCGTTTCTTCAGTGCGGCACTGGATTTGGGTTTCGTCACTGGATCACCTGTAATGTTGACCCCAGATTAATAAACCCTGGTTGATTAATAGGGGGGTGTCCCCTTTTAGTGGGGATTCATCACTTTTGGAGGGAAGACCCCCCCCTAATAATGGGACGGGTTTATTAATCTGGGGGTTTACAGTGCTTCGTCATAATCTGGATCACCTGCGTCCAACCGGCACAATGAACTTTTATTTGGCGTGATCGATTCGGGCTTTTCCGCTGGTGTGGTCTGGTCTCCTCCGTACCACGTAAGACTGTGAAGAGCATACAGTCCCCCGCCCCCCTTTCCCCCCCCACCCCTTATAGCCGAGGCGCGGCGCTCTTCGCGGTGTTGACCGCAGCACTTTGCCGCGAACTTGCCCCGCTGAAACGATTGGCGCCGGCACCCATCCGTGCTTCGAAACGGAGCGCATGGCGCAACAGGGGTGTGGACTCTGTTCCCAAGAGTCTTGTGGTTAAAGGTCGAAAGAAGTCGGAGGCCCCAAAAATGGTCGGAGTCCTTCTGTTTCATCTTGACACACCTCACGGAGTTTCATGCTCAACCCACTCTATATACGAATTTGCCCGAGGCGAAGCGCATTAACACGAATGCCAGAAAACCATCATTTGAACGTTTTCCCCTTGAAACATCCCCACCAAAAGGAAACTCACCTGAGTCATAGTTGAACCCCGGTATTAAAATGATCCACCCACAACCATGCAAAGATTTCGAAGGAAGGCCGCACCCATGTTTGGCTGGGATTGTCCCTTACTGCCCTCCAATGGCGTTTAATTGTGCCTCACCCTGAATTGGCAACCTGATTTGGTGGGAGGTAGTGCTCCATCTTAACTCTCGAGGCTTGGATTGGAATGCTTGGCCAAGGCGGTCTCTAAGGCGGATCGCTCCACGTTGGAGAAGTCCCCCAGGACCTGCGGCTCAGTTCCCCGACTCTGGGCTCTCCGTTTTCTGATCCCCTGCTAAAAGTTTTTAACCTTTAGTGGGTGAAATGGGAAACCAAGACTAAACCCAAAAAAGCTAAAAAGCTAAGGGGATGGATAAAAACTACCAAGGACAGTTCTTGCCTTTGTTCATCTAGGACATGGGGAGTAAAGAACCTATTTCGGCAAATTGGAACTACAAAGAGGACGCTACTCTTTCAAACACATGGATTGGGACCTGAACAAGTCCAGCACCAATTTGGAAGGGAAGATCCTACTGGAATCGAACCTATTGCGGAGGTCTCATCTACACCAAGGTGGGAGTCAAAGAGTAGCATTCTCTGGGTGTAACTTCGCACAGTTGGAAGAGAGTTCTCATGCTGAACTAAAAAACCAGATATGTCCTACGTCCCACGCTCCTGGGCCTTAACAACGCACGTGAAGAAGCCTGCAATGTTGGGTAGCGAGCAATACAAAGCAAAGTAAATACGCAAACACATCTGATAAAATTACTCCCTACCTGAAATGCAATCAGGCTAAGACATACAAAAAAAACAAAACACACACAATGCTTTCCAGGTGGATGAGCAACATATTTTCTGCGGCTGGCAATGTCTGAGCTTGCTCCAAGCTCCATGCCCCAGTCCCAGGAGCTTGCCACCCAGCCAAATGTTCAAGGGGGGCACAGGGAACACCCAAGGTGCTATGGTTTGTTTGATAGGGATTGGCGGCAAAAACTGAGCCAATTCTAAAAGCAGTACTGGGCAAAGCTCAAAGGAATAATACTCTCATGCTGAATCAGCTCCAAACAGTACTGAGTCGGTGCACAAGAATCCAAATCAATACTAGCCAATACTAAACAGTACTTACTGGGAAACTACTTAGGCAGGCCCCAGTCTGATCTCCATTTCTAAGTTTTTCTCTGTTGAGCCCCCATTTTGTTTGGGGGAGCCCTTTATAAATCACTCCCCCACATTAATCTGAAAAACATGTCATCAACACTTATCTTTCCGTTGTTTCCTTCCTTACGTCACATTGCAAATTCAACTTTGCTATAATAGCAGGTGTTTTGTCGGAATAGTTGTGCAACATGCCCTGAATGTTCAAAGCAATTCGCCGTTCACCTGGAACCGTTCACCTGGAAAGCACGCAAACCGACATGATCAAAACAATGTAATGTAATCGCAAAGCTCACGTGTTGCCGGGGAGACAGATCTTGTTCAAAACATGAGTGACAACAAAATTTGCGACAATGACACGCGCCCGATATCAGGTAAGAAATCACAAGAGAGGCCGCGCGAACCCTTGTTGCTAGGAATGATCTCTAGATCCAAGTGATATACTTGAAATCGAGCTTGGTTGATGTGCTTTATGCGTACGCTGCGCATGCAGTGGCGGCTCGACAGAAGAATGCCACTGACCGGAGGCTATCTGAGCCTACTTGGGAGAAACCTGACAAAGCCTATGCGCAAATTCTTGTGGATCAACTGCTGCTCAGTTGCGCTCAGTATACATGCGTGCAAATCATCATTTGGACAAGAGCCGAGATCTCATAGTGTCCACATGTATCCGGAGAGCAGCTCTCGTTGCCATGGGACTGATATCATTTCGCAGCCATGAGTATAACTTAAGGGTGCAAAGTTGGGCGGCTCTCGAAAAGGAACTTGTCTTGTATTTTTTAAAGGAAGGACAGTGGCCATTTTAAAACGCAGGAGCGCACAGCACGCCATGGCCTGCTGCTTCAAAGCCGCGAGCATGTCTCCACCTGAGGGCGAGGCCGTCTCCCCTTCCTGGAAACCTCTCGCATCCTGCGGCCCGGCCCCAGTGTTTCAATGACTCGATGCCCATGCTGCTTTTGTGATATCTTCCGCGATCGCAAGAAAGCCCACAACAAGCTTGTCGGGGAAAAAAGGCATCAAGGTCGTACTGAAGGGCTTTGTCGCAGCGGCTTGCTCAGGGCTGCGCTCTTCCGCTGTGCGGCGGGATTCTGCACTGACCTTTTAGATATCTGCGCAATAGGCGCCCCTGTAGCGACAAACGCCCAAAAACTTGACTGCATGTGGGCATGACCTTGCATCCTTTCAACAAGGTGCCTTCATCTGTTCCGTATGGATCAATGGTGCCTTCACCTTTTCCTGAATGGATCAATGGTGCTCTCAACCTTTTCCTGACCATTTCGGCATGGACCGAGCTTGCTTCCGCAAGTAGTGACTGTACGAAGTGACAAGTGTTATTGTTTGAACCACCGGCTGGTTATCTTGAAAGGGGCCCGGGGTTTGGTCGTAACCCTAGTGAGTGTCTCAGGCCAAGCGGACGCATCTTTCCACGGCAATAAGGACTTCCCGGAAATGTAACTTGGGGGTGAGCTAGCGCACAAGGCATCTAGAGGCACCTGAAGCCATCTGGAAGCCCCAACTGACTCATTCAAAGCAGCCACTTGCCCCATGGCGCCGTTACCGACGGAAATTCACCGACCATTGCAATTCAAGCTGTAAACAAGTTGCACTATACGGTAAAAAGTGGCATCGATACCCAAAAGAGAAACCTAGGCTTCCTAACAAGCGGAGCTGGCCATGTGTTTGGTTGTGCCAAGCGCGCTTGATGGGTGGGGCTTTGACTTGAGAAGTCTCAATTTCAGCATGGGATTTTGCCATTTGCTTGAGCCCCCCCATTTGCTTAAGCGCCCTGGAGAAAAGAAAATTCCAGTAGTGAAATCGATTCCCTTTAAAACCAACACGGGAAAATGCCGAATTTTCTTGAGCAAATGGAAGCATCGTGGGCCCAGCGTGACTGTAAGGCTCTGGCGCTTCATTGCTTGGAGCCACATCTCCTCTGACCACTCGGGCGCTGCCGCCTCGGCGTGTGCGTGATCCTCTTGAGGATACCCTTTTCAGCCTTTATTTTGACAGACATACAGAACAATATGTTTTCACCCAACAGGGAAAAACACAACCCCTGATTGTGACACACATCCATATATGTCTTTTCTGTTGTTTCGGTACTCCCAGACGGGTTTGTTCTGGATGGAAGTTGTGATCATTGGAGTCCTGGACAGCCACGGAAAGGCTTGGTGGAAGCTCCAAGCACACCAATGGTCGGTCGGTCGGTTGGACGGTCGCCCGCTTGGACGGTCGCCACTCAGTCCGTCCTGCCCTAGCCTTTTTGAACCAAGCCTCCCAAAAGCAATCCTAGCTAAACAACCAGCGAATTATCACAAACCTTTGACTCCGTAAGCCCGAACACAACCTCAAAGCACTCATCCTGAAACTCAGGAGCAAGACTACACAGTATCAACGCGCATCACTACTTCACGCACGCACACACCACATCGAAGCCAAACCCACATCTAATTGCAATCGTTTTAACTTTCATATTCGATCCTGAAGCCACCCTAACCCACCCCAAGCCCACTGCAAACCCACTGTAAACCCACTGTGAACCGGCTGTGAACCCAACAAAAACCAACCAAAAAACCCCACAATTGCCAACGCAGACTTGTAAGCTCACTCATTCCTGCCGCAAGTCCGAGTCTTGGTCAACCTGAACCAGACAGGAACAAAAGACACATAGAGAAAGAGAGATACAGCTCCAAACAGAGCGGCGAAAAAGACAGAAGCAAAGAGAAAAAGAGAGAGCGAGAGAGAGCGAGAGACAGTTTCACAGACACAGAGGCGAGAGAGAGAGAGAGAGGCGCAACCAGCAACAAAGAGGCATGGATAATTACAGAGACATTGATTGAGAGAGAGAGAGGGATAGATCACATAGCGATTCTGAGCCATAGCAAGGTTGCGCTGCCTAGTGACTATTAGCGGCAAAGAGATACAAACAGCCACAGCAAAAGACAGACACAAAGCCACACATGCAGACAAACACACCTGCAAACGCACTCACACTACTCACACTCACACACTCACACGCGCAAACACTCACGCACGCACACGCACGCACACACATCTACACTCTTACAAATTACACATCGCTACACATGTCAATCTAGCTAGCTAGCTGTCGAATATAGTATGTGTATGTATGTGTACAGTGTTTAATCGTACATCGCAATTTGAATGTATCTTGTATACACGTAGGTGTCTGTGTACATGAATGGTGCATTTACAAGCATTCTCGTTTCGTGCTCAGTTGACATTAATGAATCCTGGGCATGAGTGCGAGAATTGCTAGGTTGATCACTCAACATGCCTGGCAACATGTCTGCCATGCTCAAAAGGACCTGCGTGGGAACATGAGACAAGTTCATGCTCGTCGGTCGTTTTGCATTGCCAGTCTCTCATGCTGAGTTGGTCATAGTTTCAGGTGAGCGCTACAAAGGCGGCACCGAATTCTGGCTGGGACTCATCTGCACGGGTGTTGCTTGCTCATTTGACAAAGCCATGAACCCCGATTCTCGGGTCTCTGGCGGCAGCTGTGGAGTAGCCAACCAGACCGTCGATCAGGCCGGAGAGCCTCGTGGCTTCACAAAAAGCCGTGAGGTTTCTTGGCATGAGGATGGTCAAGAAATAGCTAGCGTTTACGCCATTTTCCGCTCCGATATCTTCCCCCAGACGATCCCATGGAAGCTCCCGGGACTTTGGAAGGCTTGGTTCCATTTCCAAGGGCCTCGGAGCTTCCGGCGGTTAGTCTGAGGGAGTTTACCAACCTTAGCTATCTTTTGCCTGTGAAACAACACCTCCGCGCATTACTTTCTGAAACAAAAGTCGGAGCTTTGCTTGGTAGCCCCGGCAGCGAAGTCGCTGGTTTACACGTGCATCGATAGTGCATGATTCACCACATGGCTCCCATGACTTGGTTGCGGCTCAAATAAATGTACCGAAATGGCACCTTGGAAATGGAACACAAAGACTAAATTCTGCGTAATCCTAGCTCTTGAATTTTGAGCCACACCCAGTTAGAAACAAGTTTCTTTCCGAGGAAACACATGATGCAGTTGGCAGTTGGCCACTGACCAAAAACCTAGCGCTGAAACATGCCAGCCACTAAATCTAGATTCCTATATTAAGTGGTCTTCCGGAAGCCAAAACAAATAACCTCTTGCGAGTTCAAAGCTCAAAGGACAATTGCTTGACAACTCGAAATTTTGGGTCTAGAGATCCAACAAAGACCAGCCACACCGACTCAAACGCTGAGCCAAAGATTTGATCTAAAGGCGCAGAGACTGGTTCGCAACAGCCAGGCCCGGCTTTGCAATGCGGGGATTGTGTGTGTCGCCTCTGCGTGCATACAATCTGCTCGAGCCCATAAAAAAGCCTCAGTCCGACCAATAAACATAATCCACCATTTTTTTTGCCGATAATTACGAACACCAGTTGTGCCACACTGCCATGAGCGGTTTCTGATACTTTTTCCGCTGTCAGCAGCGTCATTTGCAACAGGATCGACGACAAACCTTCCAGCAGATCCAGCGTTGCTGGATTTTCAGGCTCAAACGTCCCATGTTTACTACCATGACGCTCAGACTTTTGTGCTCTATGAAGCACATGAGAAAGCGGAAGCCTGAGCCAACCAAAACCGGTGAAGGGACAGGTTTCTGGCAACAAGTGCTGTCCTATTGATCTTGCCTCGGTAAAAAACACTTGTCTCATCGACAGACAGGTCCGTAGCTCGGGCCTTCTTGGGTCTTTTCCTGGGAGGAACTTGTGGGAGTTCCTGGTCCAAGCAGATGGGGGCACGCTGACAAGGGCTTGAGAAGCAAACGGCTTCTACCCAAATAAACGAATGCTCTCCTGCCGCGAAAAGGGTTGCGCAAGCAAAAGCCACACCAAGACTTATGCAGCAAATAGTGGTCCAATCTAGGCAGAAGCAAAGTCGAACAACACTGAACCGCAAATGCTAAACCAAATCTCATAAGTTATTTGAAGAACATGAAGCTGAACCACTACTAAACCACCACTAAGCTGTGCGGCTGAGCCGCTACTTGAGTGGTGTCGTTTATTCTCTTCTCACTCATTTGAAGGCGCTTCCGCAGCCTGCAGGGGTACCTTCCGCGAAGTGTTTTGATAGAAAATTTGCTTCCGCGAGCTTCCGCGGACGTGAGTTTACAGCATTAAGAGGCATTTCGCTTCCGCGACCACAGCTTTGGCATAGTTTTTGCATCTACTTGCTGACTTGCTTGCTTACTTGCTCACTTGCTTCCTTGCTTCCTTGCTTCCTTGCTTCCTTGCTTGCTTGTTGGCTCTTGCTTGCTTGCCTGTGGCTGGCAAGCGTTTGCTACGGAACACACTGTTTTTCGCGACGGTGCGGAGGGAAGCGCTTAGGCTTTCTCAGAGGAGGTTGAGGAGCTGCTGCTCCCAGCTGCTGGAACCTGGCTGACATGTTCTTTTCAAGGCCTCGGTGTAGGGAGTGGAATGGCTGTGGGTAAAAAATATGTACCCAAAGTTGAACCCTGCCAAATGGAACCAAGCACTACAACGCGCGGTCCCCTGGTTGCTTGATTTTGACCCATACGCGAATGTCTGGGTAGTTAGGTGAGTTGGCGCCTATGAAAAGGCAACTGGTGGGAAAGGTCGGGCGCCGCTTCCGCGATCCTTCTGCGAAGCTTCTGCGGCGCTTCCGCGAAACTCCGCGTTTGGGATTCTGCTTCTTGGATTCGCCACGGCTGCCTGACATGCGCGCGCACACAAACCTCTCTCGTTCACACGCACACGCGTTACACCCTCAAATGGTTCAGAAATACATTATTTGAGACTCTCAAATGCTCAAAAAACAACAAATCCCCACTGAAACCGACCGGCAGGAGATTTGGGTGTTCGCGCTTTTGGGGAGCAGCGCCAATTTCCAAACTCTGAGCCAGAGGTGTGGTAAGTTGTCAAAAAAGTGTTCGAGGAAAATTTGCAGGTCACCAACCTTGATGTACCTCATGCTGCACCTTTACATGTAGTACATCTGCCTGTCTAGAAACACTTTTCAATCTGAAGAAGTACTCCTTTGCAGGCTTGTCTCATAGCAATGACTCTCTAGCTCAGTTATGCTCAGTTGGTAGTGGACTGTGTCGCGATGGGAGGGAAATGGGATCGAATCTCGACAAGGCTGGATGTACTACATTTAACAGCACGAGGTAAATCAAGGTTGGTGACCAACACATTTTCCTCGAACACAGTTTTGACAACTTACCACACCGGCCCAGAGTTTGGAAATTGGCGCTGCTCCCCAAAAGCGCGAACACCCAAATCTCAGGCCCCTGAGCAAAGGAAAAGGTGGTCAAAACCAACCCGACCGCACCCAAGGCCCCCAACCAGGGTCAAAACGAGCCCAACCACACTTAGTGCACCAAAGACAAGACCAAGGGCTAAAGAAACACCTTCTTTCAATAACCAAAATAGAAATCCGGTCAAGACATTGGATTAAGACCACCAATTCTTATTCCCCATCAAATGTTTAAGACATATTCCAGACCCTGGTCAAAACACACGGTTTTCTTAACATACCGATCGACCGTAGTTGACAACCCACATGGGCACACAATCCACTTAAAACAAAGCTGCTTCATCGTTGGTCGTTTGTCATTCGCTTGCTCCACTACCAGAGCAAACAAACATACTGCTTCAACCCTTCCGCGAGCTTCTGCGGAAAAACCCTTCTGCAAAGCTTCTGCGGGCTTCCGCGACTGTGGCGCGGCGCACCTTTCCAAACAATAACACAGAATCATTTCCGTACCTTTACATACGTAGTGGAGGAGCAACAAAAAACGCCACCATGGAGGGAACCAGTTTCGGCACTTTCAAGTTTGGTCCCCCACGTCTTTCGAGGGCTCTTCAGTCACCCATGACCATCTGAGGCTTTGGCCAGGAATCGCCCCCGCCAATCTCCTGTGAGGGACTTACCCTGAAAACAGGGCGATTGAAACGTTCTCTGCACGGCATGGGGATATCGAAAATATGGGGAAGGCTCCAAAACAGGTGATCTGCCTGCGAATTCCAGTGTACCAGGGTACCCTAGCAAAAAACATACATGCACCCACTGTCCCACACTGCGGTGACATCAACCATTCTACAATATTCTACACACATGCGGAGTATCTTTACATGCAATAAGAGCTCCCGTTACTTTGATGTAGCATTATCAGAGCGGATGAGTATCTCAATATTTCATGACATGCAACTGTTGCCTAGATACATTCGGCGGCCGACCCAGGCTTCTAGCTCTGTTCTATGTCCCAGACTTTCTCGAGGGTATATCCCCAAAACAGCTGCTAATAGCCCGCACAGCCCAGCCGAAGACAATCAAACTCATCACTACCATATCATACTATTGCCCATACACGCTTGCATGTACTCAAACTCCAAGAATGCTGGCGGCTAAACTCAAAAGGCCTTGTAAGCATGCAAGGCCACGTAACTTTCCGCTCTCTGCCTACCTTCAAGCGACACCGCCCGCAGTTTGTTTTATCTCCGCTGTTCCAAATGGCATCGAGCTCTGGTGTCTCCATACGCCATGCCAGCGATCGAATCCGGGCGCACAATCTGTGGGTAGCTTGTGGTTTTCTGTCCGCGCAGACTGAAGGCTCCACACACCTCGCAGAATCTTTGAACAAAGGACCCTGGCTAAACCAAGATGATCAACCGAAACAAGGGCTCTGCAGACTGGTTGATTGACCCCTTCAAATCCATACGCAAGTACTCTACCCCGTGGTGTGGTTTCCTGGCCCAAGGGCTCCTCTTTGTGCAAATTTGAGTTCAATCACACCCCGTTTTTAGTGTCCACACAACGTTTGTTTTTGCATTGGAGCCTGCAGAAAACCGCTTTGCAAGGGCAAAGCTTGACGCCCCTCCCGAGCTCCTCAAGGAACGCAATGACCTGACAGCAAACACTCTATGCAAAGGAATATGGCGCTAAGAATGATGCACAAAAAGAGAACCAATCTACAAACAACAAGTTGGGCATCCGGCCTTTGAGCCCACTTGGGAGTGTCCCGCTCTTTTCCGGCCTAGTCGAATGACAAGGCCTTGGAGCTTTGCGTGCAGTTGTCGAGCCCGATCGGGTGCAATCTGCAGCATGTTCAAATGAATTAAAAGGCAAAGCCCAGAGCGAATTCTGAAGCAGCTCTCTGTGTGGACTGCTGGATGGTTTGCTCTTCACCAAGCTGTTGAGAGCAGCTTGCAAACCCGGCCAGTCTTGCTTTTGCGGCCTATGAACAGAATATAGCATGTCTTTTGTGCAAGATCGCCGATTCTATTTTGTTAAGAGCTCCAGTTGTGCGTCTAATGCACAAGTTTTTGGCTTGCCCCAGCCAAAGGAGAAGCAACCAGGCACCAGCTCCTGCAATATATATATATATATATGTATATATATATATATATGTTAGCATGTGCCTTGCAACTCCCAGACTCAGCTCCCTTTTGTGTCAAATCTAACAAATAAGCACAGAGTCCAGACATGCCGCAACACTCAGAGCCCCTGGTATGAACCACGAGTTTCTGGGCTGATTCATCGTCAGCTGTGGCTTGACTATGGGAAAATCCAGGTCTTATTGGGGTCCCAAATGGCAACATGGGTTCATAAAAAAAAAAATGGACCCAAACAATCAGCCTTTGAAAGAAACACACGGGTCATCCTGTCTACAACTGCAAACTCTGGGCTCTCCAAATCGGGGATACCCAGAGTGGCAGCTCCTCTACAAACATCAAACAGGACTCCATCAAAGGACATCCCCCATATGGGTGTGGCTCAAAATTAAAGAGCCAGGGTTACGCAGGTTTTAGTCTTTGTTTCCATTTATCAAGGTGCAATTTTGGTACATGTTTTTGAGCCATAGCCATATCCAGGCATCGCGCCCCCATGACAACTTGGATGATGGTTTTCCAGATCTCGAGAGATCGAGAGATCTTATCAGCAGACTTTGCCAACCTGGCCACTGAAACTTTAGCAATGCGGGGCCATGGACATGGGCACAACATTGTAGGGATTCACACCCTTCGATGTGTTTTTCTCCTTTCCAGCTGCCATCAAAGACCTTGCTTTTTCAGGAACGGTTCCTACCTGATATTCTCAGTTGGCAACTTTTCTGAACCACCCCGAGATCCTGGGAATGAGGCTGGCAGTTCTGTTGCAAGGTTGCATTTTTGGAGGGCTTTGGAACTGGAACTGGCTCTTTTCATGGGCCGTTCACTTTTTCGCATGCGCTGACTGCCCTGGATTTTTGTTTGGCCGAGATTTGCTGGGCGCTTGCGTCAGCGCTCATCGGAACGCCATGGTATTGACCATGGCCAACCGTCGAATCAAGCGGCTGGAGCGGATTTTCTCCTGACTACCCCACACCAAGCGGTAACAACACCTTGCTCATGCCAGTGTCATATTTCTATGCGCCGATGTGGTGTGCGCTTCTTGCCAGAGCCGACGTTCGATGCTTCGGCTGTCTTCTGCATGCTAGCTCGAGGCTCCTCTTTTGTCTGAATCAGACTCCACATGGAACGCTTGTCCTTTGGTCTGCCAAGGTGTGACATGAACAAAAATAAGTGTCTTGGTAGATGCTGGACGATCTACTCCACACGCACCGATTGTGTTGGAGAAACACACACAAATTCACCCAACCAGTCGCACACCCACACACACTGCCTGAGGGACATTCCCGTCACTTGCCAGAAAAGGCCTGGTTCAAACCAACCTCAGCATTCGCCCAACACCTGAAACAATTTTAAAAGCGACGAATGTCATGCTCCGAACTTAAGGCTGTTGTCCCGCAGCCCTTGGCAAATACAAAACTTTCTTGGGACTTTGGCCACAAATCGAGCACTGCAGGAACACACATGCAACTTTGATTCATGCACCCCAAGAACTGGTGGGCAGCGGCTTGATAGCAAGATCCTAAAACAAGACTTTGATCGGAATGTCTGCGAGGCCTCAGTCGGACGTCTGAACCATGTTTGAACTTCATGCAGGAGGCTCAAGCTTTGCAAATCTGTTCTGGCTTGGGTAGCCCCCTTTCTCGGCTCCATGCCACAATGTCATAACCAAAAGTCGCGAATGCGAGTCCGATGAAAAGGGGACCAACCAAGGTCTGAAAAAACATTTCGGATCGTGGTTAAAAACTCTTTGGATGATGCACGCGGCTCACGGGAGCAGGGTGCCTTCATCTTGATCGCTCGTCCTGAGTGTGAGCTGAAAGTTTGGCAAGACACAGATAAAGACATGGTGGCATTCACACGACGCCCATGCCTGGCACGGAAACCACCATGGATATACTTGCCACTAATCCCTCAACAACGCGGTACATGCATGGCAATAACCACACAAATTACGCGAGATGATGCGCTTACGCTATGCCCGAGATACGGATATTAAAAAAAGCATTTCGATAGATGGGCGTGTCTTCCTTGGAGGGTACCCCTTGTTTTCACCGTTTTGGCGGTCCCGTACAAAGAGACGCCCCAGATAAAAGCGCTGCTCAAACTCTCCGTTTCGCCTGCGCCGGCCGGAGCCTGAAAAGGTCTAGCAGGTGGTTGGGCCCATGGGAGCACGTGGTCAAACAGGTTGACTCGGTTGCTTTGCTCTCTTTGGTGGTTTAATCGAAAACCCATTAGTTGGCAAAAAGGTAAAGTCCGGACATCCAAGCAAAATGCACCTCTGTTAATGCAGGCCTGTGTTGATCATAACATCGGAGAACACAAAGGTGACGAGCCGGCTGACTGGTTGTCGGGCGTTTGGCCGACTCCAAAAACATCGGAGACCTCGCTATTCCTGGCCCCGATGACAAACCACCCCCTGAGAGGTAGCGTGAAGGGAAGCACTTTCAAGCCCAGAAAAGTAAAACTCATGACCCCAGTGTTCACAAGGCAAGTCAGCCCAAGCTGCAATTCCTCCAATAGACGAAGCTTTCGGAAGCGGCCTTCTTCTTCTTTGGCACGGGATCCTCTTTGCTCCTCGAAGGGCCCAGCACCAAGGCAGTCTAACTCCACTCGGGTCAACGACGGCACAAACTCCCTATCTGTCGGTAGGCGGGATGCTGAAACCAATAGGAGTGGTGCCATCTACAATCACCCCACTGGAACTTGCTTGATTCTTGACTATTCTACCAAAGTCCCCCCAGCAGGGTCAAGTAATCATTCAGCAGACATCGTCTAATGAAGTGCCGGAGGCCCAGCACGGTTGATCGCATTATGTTGCTTAAGCACTGGAAACACAAGGATTGGTGCATTTAGTTCAGTTGATTTCTTAATGTTGTTGCTTGATCTGCTTCTCGGTTCACTAGTCCCTGCGCTTCCCAAGTCATCATTAGTCAACATGCAGTCAATTGCTTTGGGTCCTGCAGCTGCACATGTCCCACGCACCATGCAGCATCACATGAATAGCTTGGCGTGCAAAACTAGAGGGATACACCGAGGGCAAGAACTCGCTGCTGCAAGAACACGCTCTTCTACGATCTGAAGCCTGATTGCTCAAGCAGGCTCTACAGCCCTGTCGCGTGCATGGCATAGCTAAAGATCCAAAGGACCAACATCAAAATTACGAGAGAAAAAAAAAAAAAACGCAAAAGGCAAGCCCTCAAGGCCTGTCATGTTTGCTAGACATTTCTAGCCAATTCTGCCCTGTCCATCCGTGATTTCTGTTTGGCAATGACTTCCCCATGGTTGGGTCCCAGGAAATGTGCTTGGGGAGAGCTGGTTGCATGTTGGAACGGTCCGTTCCGGCCCCACAAGGCACCTCCACTTGCGGTCTGCTCATTCTGACGGCACCAATCAACCTGTCCTCAAACCGGGGGAACAAAGGGGAGACGCCGAGCCTTTGTTGGACTTCGTGAACTCCGAAAGAAGGAAAACCTCATTCTTGTATCTGGCTGAGTGGTGATTTGGTGATTTGGTGATTTCTTGGGCCCCCTGTACCCCCAGCCATGTCCCCAGCTGAAGGCCCTTCAGCTAAGGCGCTTCAAGCCCCGCAGCGCGCCCTTGGGGTCCGGCGGCGCCGAATCCTCCTGTGGCTGGAGCGTCGGGCTGTCGGGCTGTGGGGCTGTGGGGCTGTGGGGCTGTGGGGCTGTGGGGCTGTGGGGCCCGGAACGGGCGGACAGCCGTGGAGATTGCCCTCCCGCCAGCTAACATGGAAGTGCACAGACCTCTGTAGAAAGACGACTTTCCTCTTGGAAAGGGCCTGCTTGCACTTCCATGATAGTTGGTGGGAGATTGCCACCAATGAAACCAAAAGTGCGGTCCAGCCAATTTGATTTCTCAGACAACACCTGATCCACGTTGCGGCAAGGTGAATGCCGCACGGCCCAACACCATGAACTGGATTCAAGTTCAAGAAAACTTGACTGACTGAGTGTGTGTAAAGAAGGCGCCCATTTTTTGCGACATCCCTCTGGACACGTCTAACCACTCGCGTCGCTTGACAAGGAGACTGATGCCAAACTCGCTTTGTTTTACCCGGTACATGAAGCAACCACTAGGCGGATACCCAGCCCCGGCTTTGGTGATTGCACTAGCCCAAGACTGGAAACACCACCAGGGAGGCTTCTAGGTCTTCCAGTAGAGAGGTTAGAATAAGGGTACCCTTTTTTCTGTAGCCTACTTTAGTACGCGAACCCTCCCAAAAAAAGGGGTGAGAAAGGGCACTGGGGGACCCAGTCTTGGATCGAAGTTCGAATCGCTTTGACCCTGCCTCGTCCTTCTTCTCAATGATGCGGAACCGCCAAGGTCGAGCGACTTCCTGGCGAAACGCGGCTGGTGACGGATTCTGTCTTGAACCCCCAGAATTTCAACCCTGCATAAGCCAAAATCATGGCTCGCCCAATTTTCATGGCCACTTGGGTGATTCATGGTTCTCTGAATTCAACCCTTGTCTTGGCGGCCGGAATTCTGGACCGAGGGACTTGCAGCCACGCCAGGCCTGGCCCAGAAATCCCGAGATCTGCAGCACCAGACCCAGAAAGAGAAGGGCGAGGATTCGCGTTTCACGGCGCGCCATCGCAGGTTGCCTGGGCGTTCAGAAGGGCGCCTCCCCTCGTTCCCTCGTTCCCACACCTGGGGTTTTCCCCTCCAACGGAAAACACACGTTTTTAACGACACATTTGGGTCAAAGGGTTGTGTCTCCTCCAAAGTCATGGGCTCATCTTGGCCCTTCAAGCAAAAAAGAAAGCATTCGCTGGCGCCCTGTTTTGGATGAGAGAAGCTCACGGGAAACCTTTGCCCTGTCCCCAATGACACACGCCCCTTTTTCTTGCGAAGAACATCCGTGTTGGAATGGCTCCAAAAGGATGTGCTTTGACCCTAGGAACACCTGGAGCAGGTCCTGGATCCTGAGTAGATCCTAGCTACTGTGCCATCTAGAAGCCGTCACCAGTTTATGCTTGCGGCAGGACTGTTCTTTGGAAGCCTTCTGCATCATGCTGCCACACAGAAAAGCGCCACCACAGAACAAGTGCCGCCCCGCTAGTCGAACGCCAGCCTTTTGCAACAGTCAGAAGGCAACCGGAACCGCCCGCAGGAAACAAAACTGAATAAACCAAACACTGGTTGATCACCACCCCAGGTGTCTTACATTCTCAGGATTGTCTGAAGGCTTCGCTCACCATCTTCTTGTGCCCAATTCCGGCTGAGACACTCCACAGAGCAGAAGTGAGCCAAGTGTGTGGAGTCGCGCAACTGAGCCGTAAAGCACTGCAATCGGCAAATGGAAATTAGTGCTGACAGCTATGCTTGCCAGTCTCAAGTCATTTGTCTCCTCCTCCTCCTACTCCTCCTCCTCCTCCTTATCACCATCATCATTGGTGCAAACAATGTCATGCCACAAATTGGTCGGGGTTCTAGTGAACTGGTTTGCTTGCTTATGCTCGTGGTATCTTGTTGCCAGTGGCAAATGTCAGCCTGGCTATCAGGCTGACAAGCTGAAGGCAATCCCCGGAACGGTCAACCATGAGGTGTCCAAATGCTCCTTCAGGGGGTATGTTTCAAACTAGGTATGCCCGTGAAAGTGAACTAGTGAACTAGCTTGGGGAGTTTGAACCATTTCATCAGGCTCACGACATAACATCAATCAACTTGAAGAATTGCGAAACCCATGGCTGTGCGCTCCGAAAGCATGCAGCTCGGACCTCCAAACTCTGCCATACCTTGCAAACAAACTTTTAACACAGAGAGCCCGATGATGGCTCAATGAGGCCCGTTGTTTCTACGATTGCTCAGCAAAGCCTCTGTTCAAATGACAAGGTACTGAGACGCGACACAAACCAACCTGCATTTTGGGAGCGTCTCTCCAGCCGCGCTGGGGGGGAATGCTTCTCTTTTGAGGCCTCTGAATGACAGTTTGCAGAGAAAGGAGGCTGAAACAGCACAGCACACATCTGGGGTCAATGCCAAACAAATCCATGTACGCAATATGTCCTCGCAATTCCCCTTTCCCCCCAGCAAACAAACATGCTGAGCACAAGCGGCTTCTTTCCGGTTCCATTCTCCGAACAGCTTGCTACGATCTTTCAATTAGTCAAAGCATCAGGCTGTGGGTCAAAACCCTGTACCCCTGGTGAACATCAAAATAGGTGGCACATGGATGTTCATCCCCAAAACGGAGCCATAGGTTATGCCCCAGAGCCATCAGGCAGGACTGGGCCCAAAACAGGACGCCCTTTCCCGTCCTCTCGAACCTCTTGCGGCACTCGCGCAGCGTAGCTGGAGAGCACCGTGCCAGCCTGACACATCGCGGGCTGCCAATGGGAGATGTGGAAGGTTTCTACAGGCTTGCTGAAACAAGGAAAGACGTGGGAACTAGAGAAGCTACTTTTTATGGGGTTGCTGTAAAGAGGAAAGACATGGGAACTGCAGATTTGGCGGGGGGTGCTGTCAGACGGGTGTATTTCAAAACCATGGAACCCTGACAATGACGGATTTCCTTCCCCTTCAGAAGCCAGCCAAAAGGGCTCCCAAAACCAAGCGCCGTTCGGGCTACGTCGGGTAGTCATGCGACGGCCGCTCTGCATCATGGATTCAACGATTGGATATGATGTCCCATCTGCGGGTTCCTTTCATGGGCAAGGATGGATCTTCTACCCGCAGGTACATCATGCAATTTGGTTTGCCACGACTTCTTCAATGGTTGACCGGTCACCAGACAACATTACCTCAAAGCGATGTGAGTGCATCGCCTCTTGACGGGGAGTGCTCTTGAACATGCTCTCATGCGGCAGCACTATCTAAAGTGCATTTGTTGATTTATCCCCCGCGAGTCCATGTTTGCTCTTCTGTAGGAGAAACAACGGCTGCTCCGAGCTCCATGAGAAATATGCAGGCCTATCCGATGCTTGTGGCTTCGACTCAAACGCTTTGCTTGTCCTGGACGTGACTGCTTGCCAATTAAACATCGGCAAACTTTTCCCAGGCCTTTGATTCTTTACCGGGCCTCCGGGAAGACTCCATGCAAAAGTGGTGTAAACAAAACCTGCAAAAGGTATTCTTGGAAGGAATTTTTCAGCAAGACTTTTCACAAAAACTATTCTCGGGCTGTGTGGTTGGGTTGGGTCAACATGAAACAATATGTCACACAAAACACCAGATACTTCCGTCAGTCAACAGCTGGACTTCCATTTGCTTAAGCCTTAGGCTATTAAGCCCCCTGGACAAAATAATAATATGTCCAGTAGTGACGAATTCCCTTTCAAACCAACAAGGGTTTGAACAACATAAGCTCAATTTTTCGGCGAATTGAAGTGGGCTGGCACGCGTTCAGGGTGGCTCTGTGGCAACAAATCGAAAGACCACAGCGACTTGGAGCCTAGGATGACGAGCCAAAAGGAGAAGGACCTCCATTGAGTTCTCCTCTTGGCATGAGTCTGAATTGGGGACCTTATTAAACTGTTGGACATCATTTGGGGAGTCACAAGATGTTTCTTAGGAGAGAATGTAGGGCGTTGATAAGGCGTTGCAGGGTCATGTGCCCCAACCATTTTGGAGGTGCTTCCCGGCATTAAAACTCACCGTCTCGGGCCTTGAGGCACACCACGGACCACCGCAGCTGCTGTGGCAGGCCGTCTGAGACGTCCCGGGCCTCGGAACTTCGACTTAGTGACTTCCAATGGCACGAGGCCAAATTCTATTGGGTTCCTGTTCCATTCTTTTCAACCATGGTTCTTTCCGAGAACCGGATCCGTTTTCCCCGGCATTTCTGGAGGTTTGTAGAAAGAAGGATCCCTGGAAAGAATGGGGGAGGTACCCCTAGACAAATGGGTGGGGCGTCAAGACGCCTGGAGCCCTAAAATGGGTCAGGGGAGAAGCTACTGCAACATATGCCTGACAAAGGGCGCCCTTCCCCTTTCAAACTTGAAAAAGGAAAACAACTGCTATTACCTGTTCGCGAAATCAAGCCAATTCCTGTTTCATCGACCCTGTTTCATCCACCATGCTTGAACTGCAAGCATGGCTTGTATTTTTGAAATCCTTGCACACGTTCATCTTGCGCCTGTCGAGCCTCCAATGCTCCGCAAGGACAGTATTCTCCATTAAACGGGAGGTCACTAGCGAACCGGACTCCCGGGGCAAGGCCGGCTGGTTCAGTTTTACACCTCGTTGATCATTGGACCGTATTGGCATTGCTCTACTCGTTTCAACTCGGCTTCCCCTGCCCGCCGAGAAACCACGGCATCTCTGTTGCTGATTGGCTCGTTGCTGGGCTCCTTTCCAAGCCGCCCACCTTTGAATCATATCTTTCAGCGGCTCGCAATTCAAGTTACGAACCCGGCTTCATAATTCCAGTAGGCCTGAAAGCGAAGCATCCCTGCGGCATACGCCAAGAGAAATCCGATCTGAGCTTCCGAGATTGAGCACACGGGAACCAACAAACAGGTTCCTGTTGCGCTGGGAACAGGCCCGCTCTTGCATTCCCCGCCTTGCAGGTAACTGCGATGTTGGTGCGGTTGCCAAGGTACAGCTGCCTCATTCACGAAGCAACTATCAGGTTCCCCCCAATTGGTGGTTTTGTTTGGTGGATTGGACGTCAGGGGCTACCTTCCCCATTTTGGTTTCAACAGAAACTGCGTTTCAAATAAAATACCAAACCACCAATCCAAACCCCCAATTAATTAGGGGCAAGCTGAAACGAGCGAGTTGCAATACAACATGAACACTCACATCCGGCTGAGGATGTGGGCGCAGGGATCAAACCAAACCGGATCTGATGGGCCACTGGAGCAAAACCTACTGCGAGAGTTCTGGTGGTGGAAATGTACCCTTGACAGCGGACTGTCATATCTTAAGAGTGAAATTCACCCGAGCAAAGCCAGGCTTTGTGACTAGACATACATATGCACTTCTCAAGGGGGCAGTTTCCAAAGCAGCCCTTTAATTTCCCCCTTGGAGCATCAATCTGAGCGGCTGGTTCATGGAGGACCTCACCATCCAACCACCTGCAGTGTGAAAAGACTCCCTTTTGCCAACCCCAGCCCTCACATCTGAATTTTCCCCGAAAGTGAAAAAGCCGGTGCTACTTGGGGCCAGTGATGTCATAAGGCGGCCACAACTTCGCGATGCACTTGCGCCTAGGTGCGGTCAAAAATAATGGCAGGCTCCCAAAGACTTTCAGTCCCAGTGACCTCACATCAGGAATGTTCGGGCATGCGCCAGCTCACCTCATATCAGCTCAGCTCATGTCATTTCCCGGTCATTCATTCACGCATTGCATATTCTGCCCGTACTGAATCATGTGAAGCTCCAGTGTGGGGCTCTTTGTCTCAACATGAGCTTTGGACTCAACAGCCAGCATTGCCTCCGGGCTTTGGCCTCAAACCCAAACAGCTGAACTGATGGACAAAACGGGGACGGACGCCACGGCACATTGGCTGAGCCTCGCAAAAAGAAACCGAAACTGCTGGGTTTCAACCGCAGCTCCGCACCAAAGGGGACTCACCCCAAGTCGAACATTGGGCAACTGATTAGTGTTCAAGACCAGGTCTCATGGCCAAAACACTCAACATCTCAAACTTTTCTTGCCGCCTCGAAGCCGCCAGTCGGGGGATTTGCAGAGCATCTTCTTCCCTGAAAAGCTGAACCCGCTGTGGACCGTGCCGGGCACCTGGCACCAGGGCATCCAGGCTTTCAGCCCCGGCACGGCCCCGCTTGAGGGCCTGAAAGGCCGGTGATTTGCAGAGGAAGATCCTGAGAAAACTCGCCTGGTTGGATGATTTGCCCATTTCGGATGAATCCGGGCCGTGCCAACAAGGGGTGCTCCTCCAAGAAGAGGAGGGAGATTTAACAGTAGAGGGTTCCTGAAAAGAAACATCTCCAGTCACCAAAGGATCAACAAGAAATCCCCAATCAAGTAGGCCGGGGTGCTTAGGGGAGCTTTTGCAACAGTATTGACAAACAGTGCCAGGCCGCAAAAACTCACAAAGAATGTGTCACGCAGCTCGCTTGGCCAGTTGGCTCATTTCATGAGTTCGGTATCGAGATATTCCCTCCTCATGAGGCCGGGCAAATGCAGTGCATGCACCAAGCATTTCTAACATGGTCCAAATCGAGAAGACATATTCTTCCGCAAACCGTGGAGACGCCGTTCACAGCTATGCTTTCATTTCGGCATGAATCGGCCTTAAAGTCAGCTGCAAAGTCTTCTCCAAAGATCTCGCCGACCTGCAGGAAGGTAGGAACTCTCCCCACATCGCAAGCTTGCAGGGCGATCCACTGACCCCAATCTCACACAGACGAAAACAGCTGAACACCGAAAACTACATGTTCTCAAACCACGCGATTGTGTGTGTGTGTGTGTGTCTCGTTTCTTCCTGACAGGTCCAACAAGCACGGTCAATCATCCTCGAAATCATGCCTAAACGCTTTCCAAATTACCCGTGGTGCCACCTTGCACCACCCTTGCTGCTCTCAGTTGAGCCTCTAACCGCAGCAAGCCAATCCCAAACCCTAAACCTAAGCAAACAACAACCAGCACAAATGCACCCCAAACGTGTCCGCTGCACTATGAATGGATTTCAGCCCCAGACTCCACATACCAGCAGCTGCAGAACTCTTGACACCCTGAATCCATACTGAATTGATGTTCACCTTCCTCGCAATGCACCTAGAGGGTCCCATAAACCTTCTCCGGAGAAACTCTCCGTGTTTGGCAGGATAAACATTTCGGCACATGGCATGTGAGCAAGATTTGCAGAATCGTCCGCAGCACGTCACAGCATGTCAGTTGCATCCACCAACCTGAAACCGGGCTCACGATGGATGTTTGGCGTCATTGCAGTGTGTAGTTTGTTTTTCTTTTTCTTTTTTTCTGCGCCTGGATGACATCTCCAATAGAGAAGACTAGGACGTCCAGCGTGCCAAGATGCGGCTCGGCCTGAGGTCGTCGTCTGTGAAGCAACCTAGCGCTCCAAATCACAAGCAAGTCATTCAAACTGTCTGCCTAGCGCTTATACCTTTTGACTTGCCCGATGCGGCGTTGCGCTCAACGGTTTCCAGCAGTCACAAGAACTTCGAGCATGTCGGTCATTCAAGCACCTCAAGCTTTCACATAGGACCATATTGTTTATGTGACAGGGATGCGGCTGGATTGCAGGAAGAAGCCTCTTGCTAGCAAAACACTGCAACAGTTTCCTCCCCTCATCTATACGTGTATATATATATATATATATACAGGAACCGTGCCATCGTCAAGCTTGCTTCAAAGCTCCCAGTGTCAACTTGTCTCCCTGAAGGCAAAGGTGTTTGCTTTGAGCGAGTCAAACATCTGCGCTGGGAATCCCAAGGTTTCTTCCGTGCGACGAAGTCTGCTTTGAGATGCCAGGAGCTTTGTGAACAAAATTAAACATACTGTGGATGGACGAAATCCAATTCGCACCGCGTAGAAAAACCATGGGAAACCATGGTTTGTTGGTATTTACAGGGGAATCATCATTCCAGGGTTTCTTAGGTGGTGCAGGATTTCGTCCATCCACAGTATGGCGGGCGCCATGCCTTTCTTTGCCTTTCTGAGGCGCCCAGCCATATTCCACAGCTCCTTCCAGCTTCCGAGCGCTGGCCGGTGGTTCAAGTCCTTAGTCAAAGCGGGCTTCACGGCAATTGGGATGTAGGGGTGGCCTGTAGGGGAAATACGTAGGTAGGCACGTATGCAATGTATACTATTTCGTCTTCAGACTCTTCAAGCATGAAACAAATCGGACGCGCTTCCAAGACCATCCCTTTCCGAAAAGCGGATGGCAGGTTGACAAAAGGGCGACCCATTTGGCAAAATGTGGGTCAAACTTGAACCTGCCTTCACCTGCATATATATATATATACACATCACTTGCTTTAACGTATGACAACGACATCGCTCTGAAGTCTCAGACTAAGAGGTCTGAACCCTTGTACCATGGCTTCTCGCCGCGAACCCTTCCCGCGAACTGCCATTTCAAAATTTGACGGGCCACATTTGATTCGCCCCTCGCAGCTTTGCTTGGCCGGGACGGCGGGTTGCAAGCCATCCAATCCCCCTTTTGAATTGATCAGGAATCCCAGCCGAACGCGACAAGAACCGAGCAAAGTGTGCTTTTGTTGGCTGGCTGAAACAACACGTGAGTCAATGTTGCCATCTAGAGTACTGTCCACCAAATTTCCTTCTCTTGGGGGGTTTAGGGGAAGGACTCCATCTTCCAAGAGCCGCCTGCAGCGGCCAAAGGACAAACGGCGAGCTGTTTTGTTTGGTTGTTTTTCCAAGTGAAGCCCGCCCAAGAACAAGTTGAACAAGGTGGGAAGGCCTATGCACGTCTCACCACTGGAACCCAACCGAAACCCAAGGGAAACAAACATACAACACAGGAATCCGCCGAAAACCCAATGGACACCAAGCGAAACCTCCAGTCTGTATGTCTCCCGTATCTCCTTGGGCTCGGACCATGGTTACCACAAGGTTCCCCGAGTCTTCCTAGCCAGGCAGGTCATGGCAGGCAATATTTCCAGCATGCAGGGAATCTCGCATCAAGCTGGTAGCTGGTGATGATCATGAGTGATCAGTTCCCCTCTGGGGGAGGAAGTAAAGGGAAACGACGAAAGTGAGTCTCCTCTCCCAATCTGAAATGGCAAATGGGTCCATCACATTGACCTATTTGGCACTTGCGCTGGTGAGCCGTGGTGAGCCATGGGGTTGCTTCGATTGTGATGTGCCAATGTGCCAAGGCGCGGAGACAGAGCGGTCGCCGGACTGATCCAAAATCCACATTGACATGCTCCGGCGCAACCAAGCCCGCCGGCCGGGACTCAAGTCGATGCGAATCCGATAGCTCCATCACCCCCAACCCTCCAACCCTACCCATCAGCCAAGTCGCCCAACCCACACCCAACGAACCCGGCGCCAACTCCCCAACCGCCTCCTTCAGCTCCCGCGCGGCTCTCAGGGCGTGGTCCCATGCCTCGGCCACTGCACCCTCCCCCTTCGCCACTTGGACAAAGGGACCTTAGACTTGTGTTTTTGGAGTTGGATCTTATATATAATCTGTTTCCCGTCTAAAGGTGGTTGTTCCCGAAAGCATGGCGAAGGGTTCTTCCGCTGGGTTCACTTGAATTGTTCTCATCAGAGTCATTACAAGGTGTCATTGCAAGGAATCATCATCATGAAAGTCAATGCAAGGAGTCATTGCAAGGAGTCATTGCAAGGAGTCATTGCAAGGAGTCATTGCAAGGAGTCATTGCAAGGAGTCATTGCAAGGAGTCATGGCAAGGATTGCAACTTGCACTTGACTCCTTGCACTTGCAACTTGCACTTGACTCCTTGCACTTGCAACTTGACTCCATGCACTTGCAACTTGCACTTGACTCCATGCACTTGGCTCCTTGCACTTGGCTCCTTGCACTTTGCACTTGGCTCCTTGCACTTGCAACTTGCACTTAACTCCGTGCACTTGCGACTTGCACTTGACTCCATGCACTTGGCTCCTTGCAACTTGCAATGGCTCTCATGACTCCTTGCAATGACTCCTTGCAATGACTCCTTGCAATGACTCCTTGCAATGACTCCTTGCAATGACTCCTTGCCATGACTCCTTGCAATGACTCCTTGCAATGACTCCTTGCAATGACTGCTTGCAATGACTCCTTGAAACAAGCAAGGAGTCAAGTGCAAGTTGCAAGTGCAAGGAGTCAAGTGCAATTGACTTGCGAGGAGTTAAAATCTCTTCTTAGGGCGGCGGGGTAGTGCCGACGACACTACACGAAAATCGACCCTCTGCGGGGATCGGCGTGGTCGAGGTGCAAAAACCCATGGTTTTTTGCGATTTCTAAAGTGCCCGCGCGACCCTCTGCGGGGATCGGCGTGGTCGAGGTGCAAAAACCCATGGTTTTTTGCGATTTCTAACCTGCTCGCGCGACCCTCTGCGGGGATCGGCGTGGTCGAGGTGCAAAAACCCATGGTTTTTTGCGATTTCTAACCTGCTCGCGCGACCCTCTGCGGGGATCGGCGTGGTCGAGGTGCAAAAACCCATGGTTTTTTGCGATTTCTAACCTGCTCGCGCGACCCTCTGCGGGGATCGGCGTGGTCGAGGTGCAAAAACCCATGGTTTTTTGCGATTTCTGCTCGCGCGACCCTCTGCGGGGATCGGCGTGGTCGAGGTGCAAAAACCCATGGTTTTTTGCGATTTCTGCGGTGCTTCTGGGGAATCGGCGTGGTCGAGGTGCAAAAACTCAAGGTTTTTTGCGACTTTTGTTGTTCGAACTGGTCCTCGGGAGTTGTCTCGTGGTTCGCGCGCCTGCTCCCGGAACCGGCGGGTCGCGGGTTCGATTCCTCCCTGGTCCGCGGGCGGGCGTCGCAAGATGCAACTTGCATTTTACAGCAACTTGCGCAGAGCAACTTGCGCAGAGCAAGTTGCACAGAGCAACTTGCGCAGACCAACTTGCACCGACCAGTTTGCGCAGAGCGCCTTGCCTAGAGCAACTTGCGCAGAGCAACTTACGCAGAGCAACTTGCACAGAGCAACTTGCACAGAGCAGCTTGCACAGAGCAACTTGCAGGGAGCGCAATTTGCACAGAGCAACTTGCAGGGAGCCACTTGCAGGGACCAACTTGCCGGAGCAACTTGCGCGGAGCAACTTGCGCAGAGCAACTTGCACAGTGCAACTTGCGTAGAGCAACTTGCGCAGACCAACTTGCACCGACCAGTTTGCGCAGAGCACCTTGCCTGGTGCTGTCTCGCGCTTGCTTCACGAAGTGTAGGGAAAAAGAACGCATCCTGCAGCGTTGGGCCGACCTCGCTTGCGATGTTCTGCTTTCGGGCCAACCGTGGTCTAGTTTTGTTTGGCAAGGGATCAACGAACCACTCGCAAAAAAATGCTTTTTTGTCCTGAAAAGCATGACCTCCTGCTGGCCAGGCCTGTCTGACGTGTCTGAGACTAGGCTCAGGCCCAGCCCGAAACAGGCCTAGCCCAACCAGCAACCCGCCCAACATGTCAGGGCATGCCAGCCACCTATGCCAGCTACTAAGCCTGTCTGACGTGGCCCGCTCGCGTCTGGCCCCGCAGGCCCGGCGCAGTCTCAAACTAATCAGCCTGAGACTAGCCTCAGGCCCCAGCCCAGCCAGCAACTCGCCACCCAGCCTCAGGCCCAAGTATGTATGAAACAGGCCTTGCCCATCCAGCAACCCGCCCAAGCACAGCTCAGCCCAGCCCGCCCAGCCCAAGTTCCAGCGTAGTCCGGCTGCCCAGCAGCCAGCAACCCACCCATGGCTTCGCAGCCTCGTGGCTGAGACTAGCTTGGCCCAGCCCAACCAGCAACCCGCCCAAGCAAACCCCACCCAAGCCCACCCTGTTTGAGACTCGCAGGCCTCAGCCTATCTAGCGCCGAGACTGACCCTCGCCAGCCTGGGCTCAACTCCGCCTTCTGGCCAAAACTGGCCTCAGGCCCAGCACAGCCATAGCCCAGCCCCCTCAGTGCGGCTCCCCAGCCCGCCGTAAACTAGCTTCAGGCCCAGCTCAACCAACAACCCACGCAAGCAAGGTCCAGCCAAGCTGCCCGAGACCAGCTTCAGGCTTCGCGCAGGCTTATCTGATGTATCTGAGACTAGCCTGTGGCTTGTCTGACTTGTCTGGAGCCAGCTTCAGGCCCAGCCCAACCAGCAACCCGCGCGAGCAAGCCACAGCCCAGCCCACCCAAGACTGGCTTCAGGCCAGCCCAACCAGCCACCAGGCCCCAGGCGCAGGACCAGCAGCCTGGTCCGGCGCATGGCATCAGTTGGCCCAACGTGCTCCAGCCCTCACTCCGGCTGCCCAAGCAGCGCAGCCCAAGCTGGCCAGTCTGAGCAAGCAACCCACTCAAGCACGGCCTACCCCAGCTCCCCTTCGCTTCGGCCCCCAGCCCACAGCTTAGCCAGCACGCCCAGCCCAGCCTGCCCGGCCTCTCGGCGCAGGGGAAATACAACGGCACACGCTCGCGTACCGCGCGGCAGTCTGCTGCCGCTTTACGCGACGCGGGCGAAACATGGGTCCCAGGCTCGAATCCCATTGCCGCCTCTCTGCTGGCTCGGGTTTTGCGCTTCCTTTTGCTGACAGCATCGAAAAAATCACGGTGTTTTGTTACTTCCTGTTGCTGAAAACATCGCAAAACACGGTGCTTTTCACCTTCCCACCCCCTGCCGCCTCTCTACTGGCTCGGGTTTTGCGCTTCCTTTCGCTGACAGCATCGAGAAAAATGTGTTTTGTTACCTCCCTTTGCTGCAAGCATTGCAAAAGACAGTGTTTTTCGACATCCTTGTCCACCGTCTTCGTGAGAATTGTGAAGGGAATGCAGATGAATTGAAAGGGATGTGATGGGGAAATGCAGGGGGCATGAGCGGAAGTCTGGACCCTGTGTTTTTTCGATTTCCGGGGTTATCTACTGTCAGGGTCTTGAAAGGATCTTGCTGGGTCTTAAGTGAAGCCCGACATCCTTGTCCACTCGACCCAGCTTTTTTTTGATTTGCGGGGTTATCTTCTGTCAGGTTCTTGAGAAGATCTTCGTGGGTCTTAAGTGACGACTTGACTGACTGCCCATTTGTCTGGCCCCTGCAACTGTCCCGACAGTGACGGCGGCGCCCTGCTTTTTAGACAACAGGTTTGAGTCTGTGGCACGGGTCAACTCGAAGGGCGGTTTCTTGAGCGTGGGCCTTCCTTCGAAATCCTTGAGTCCGGCAGCTACTAGGTCATCCAAGCCGAAACTCAATAACACACTGAACACCTGACCTGGTCTAACATAAACGGCTGCCCAAACACAGCTTGCTTGTTTGCAACCCTGCTCGACTTCCGCCGCCCTTCTTCGGCGTGTCGGACACCTAGAGAGAGAGAGAGAGAGAGAGAGAGAGAGAGAGAGAGAGAGAGAGAGAGAGAAAGAGAGAGAGAGAGAGAGAGAGAGAGAGAGAGAGAGAGACAGAGGACACCAGACAGAGAGACAGAGAGACAGAAAGACCCAGAGACAGAGAGACAGAGCGACACCCACCTTGCTTCCTACCCCAGCAGCTCCTCGGCCCGGGCTTCGTGCCTGGCCGTGGGGACGCTATGGGCAGCTGCAAAAATGTGAGCACAAATCTGGCTCTGCTCCTACGCCTGGCGAGCCAGCTCCTGGCAGTACGCGTCGTCGAACACCAGCACCTTCTTCTCTCCGTCATCATCCAGCGTCATTTGCACAAGGCTTCCGCGTTGTCTCCCACGGCGCACACCTGTGCTCCCATGCCAACACAGCCGACCAAGACGGTCGTGCGCATGGGGTTCCCATTCTGGCTCTGACGCAGCGCCGACACCTCCCGAAGGTGGCCGCGCAGGCAGCCGACCCCCGACTCCGACCAATCCACGTTGGAGAATTGGTCCGCGAACGGAGACAGGTCGAGTTGCAAGTTGAGCGCGCTTGGGGGCTGCACCTTCACCTCGCTCGCCTTCATCGAGTGCAGCTGCCGCAGACTCGTCTTCGCCGCTAGTCGCGGCTCCGCCACGCGAAAGTGATCCAGCGCCACGCGCGGGTATGCATCCGCGTCCTGAGCCTGCGCGGCCGCCCACGCGCTGCCTAGTGTCTTCCCAGCTTCTGTTGCTTTCTCCCGCCATAGCACCAAGGTGACGAACCCTGTGGCATCTGCTGCTATGCAACTGTAGACAGGGATCGGCCGCCCGTGCACAGGCACGTTGCGGACTGCCGCGTCCGCCCACAGCAGCCACAGGTCTGCCATCTGCACGACTGTGCCTGTCGCGACGCGATGCAGCTCTGACACCGTTGGCACGCTGGTGCGCTCCGCCTCTTGGGCGACAGGCTCCGTTGCTGTCGCGCGCTTACGCTTGCTCGGCGACATCTTCGGCCCCGCGACGGCATCACTCGACTCCATGTCCCGCGCTTTTTGGAGCTCCACTTCGCCGACCTGCCTACTTTCTTTTGAGCCAACGGCGCACGCCCCGGGAAATA